ATGAGGTACATTTACCCTAGTCAGAATAACCATTATTAAAAAGTCAAAAAAACAATAGACGTTGGTGTAGGTACAGAGAAAAGGAACACTTATACACTGCTGGTGGGAATGTAAATTAGTATAATCTCTATGGAAAACAGTATAGAAATTTCTCAGACAACCAAAAGTAGATCTATTATTCAATCCAGGAACCCCACTCTTGGTTATCTGCCCAAAGGAAAAGAAGTCATTATATCAAAAAGACACCTGCACATGCCTGTTTATTGCAACACAATTTACAATTGCAAAGATATGGAGTAAATTTAAGTGCCCATTAACTTAAGAGTGAATGAAAAAATAAGACATATTATAAGTGAGAACATGCAGTATTTGATTTTTCATTCTTGAGTTACTTCACTTGGTATAATAGCCTCCAATTCCATCCAAGTTGCCACAAAAGACATTATTTTATTCTTTTTATGGTAGAGTGGTAGCATGAATGAACTATGCAGTTATCATGCTATGTGAAAAAGTCCAGTCACAAAAGACAAATACCGTATGATTTGATTTTTATGAAGTACCTAAAACAGTTAAATTCATAGACACAGAAAACAGGATGTTTTGGTTTGTTAGAATGGTTGCTAGGGGCTGGGAGGAGGGAGAAATTGTACATTGGGTATAGAGTTTCTGTTTTGCAAGATGAAGTAATTCTGGAAATAGAGGTGATGGTTGTAAAACAATGTGAATGTACTTAATGTCCCTAAATTATGCATTTAAAATGTCTGATATAGCAACCTGTATGTTATGCATATTTTGACACACTTTTTAAAAATGTTTAAGGCTTATACCTCATGATAAAGTAGAATCTATACCAGAAATGCAAAAGTGGTTCAACAAGAAAATCATCACTTTAATACATCACATTATTAGCATGAAAGGAAAAAAACAATAATATGATTATCTCAAGAGAAGCAGAAAAATCATAGGACAAAATTCAACACTCTTCAGGATAAAGTCACCCAAAAACTATGAACACAAGGAAAATTCATTATCATAATAAAATATATTTATAAAAACTCCAAAGGTACTTCATACTAAATTGTGAAAGTCTAAAAGCTTATGTCCTAAAATCAGGGAGGAAAAAAAAATGTATACACTTTCACCACTACTATTCAGCGTAGTACTTAAAGTCCAAACCAGAACAATTAGGCAAGCAAAAGATATAAAAGGCATTTAGATAACAAAGGAAGATGTAAAACTATTTCTATTTAAAGATAACAGGATTCTATATAAAGATAAGTCCATACAATCCACACAAAAAAACTAGAGCTAATAAGTTGTATTAGTCCATTCTCATGCTGCTAATAAAAACATATCTGAGACTTGGTAATTTATAAAGAAAAGAGGTTTAATTGGCTAGGGATGCCTCAGGAAACTTACAGTCATGGTGGAAGGGAAAGCAAGAGGATATGTTTATGTCCTCCTTCCCAAGGCAGCAGGAAGGAGAAGAATGAGAGCTGAGCAAAAGGGGGAAACCCCTTATAACACCATGAGATCTCAAGAGAACTTACTCACTATCATGGAAATATCATGGGGGAAACTGCTCCCGTGATTCAGTTACCTCCTTCCAGGTCCCTCCCACCACATGCGGGGAATATGGGAACTATAATTCAAGATGAGATTTGGGTGAGGACACAGACAAACCATATCATAAATGTTTTAGGCAAAATCTCAGAGTATAAGATCAATGCAAAACTCAGCTGTGCCCCAGCAATGAACAATCTGAAAATGAAATCAAGGAAATAATTACATTTGCAATAGCATGCAAAGGAATGAAAGCTCTAAAAATCTATAAACAAGGAAGTGAAAGATTCTCACACTGAAAATAATCAAACATTGCCTAAAACAATATAAAAATATCTAAATAATAAAAAAACTCACACTCTAGGGTTGAAAGACGTAAGATTGTTAAGATGGCAATGCTCCCCAAAGTAATGTAAAGATTCAGTGTAATCACTATTAAAATTCTAATGGCCTGTTTTGCAGAAATGGGAAAACCAATCCAGAATTTATATGCAACTAACAGGGAGTGGAATCAATTTCCAACTTGAAAACTTCGAAAGAAAGCTATATTAGTGAAAGCAGTGTGGTACTGGCATAAGGAAAGACAACATTAATGGCATAAAATTTAAATCCCAAAATAAATGTAAACATCTAAAAGGTAAAATCCCAAACATAAATGTAAAAATGAAAACAGTGTGGTACTGGCACAAGGAAAGAGAACAATGGAATAAAATTTAAATCCCAAACATAACTGTAAACATCAATAGCCAGTTCATTTTCAACAAGCATCCCAAGACCATTCAATCTAAAGGGAGAGTTTCTTCAACAAACGGTGCTGCAACAATTTGATAACCAAATGCAAAAGAATGAAGTTAGACTCCTACCTCATTCCATATGCAAAATATAACTGAAAGTGGATGAAAAACTCAAATATGAGTTAAAACTATAAAATTCTTAGAATAAAATATAGGGGTAAATATTAATGCCTTCAGATTTGGCAATGAATTCATAGATTTGACACTAAAGCAACAAAAGATTAAATAGATAAACTGGACTTTAGAAAAGTAAAATGTTTTTGTACATCAAATCAAAAAATAGAGAAAAAAGGAAACAAACTAAATAAAATAATAAAAATAAAATGTTTGTACATCAAAGAACATAATTAATAATGTGAAATCACAACCTACAGAATGGAAGAAACTATTTTTCTTATCATACATACATAGGGATTTAATGTTCAGAATGCACAAATAATTCTTACAGTTCAACAATAAAATGATAAGCAATTCAATTAAAGAATGCACAAAGGATTTGAATAACATTTCTATAAAGGACATATGAAAATAGGAAAAAATACATGAAAAGATGTTCATTTTCATTGGTCATTAAGTATATATAAGTCAAAATCACAATGAAATTCCACTTTGCACTGACACAAAATATTGTAAAATTAAAAAATATTAACAGATGGAAAAATAGGAACCCTCAAATATTGCCAGTGGGATTGTAAAATGGTGCATTCAGTTTAGAAATGTTAATTGCTTCTCAAAAAATTAGACATAAAATTACCATATGACCCAGAATTAACACTCCTAGGACTATACCCAAGGAAAATGAAAGGATGTCCATGAAGAAACTTATAACAAATATACATAGCAGCATTATTTATAAAAGCCATAAGATGAAAATAACACAAATATACACCAACAGATGAATAATAAACAAATTGTTGTTATGTGTACATGTATAATGGAATATTATTTAGCCACAAAAAAACAAAAATGCTGACACATGCTACAACTTTTTGGAGCCTCCATGTCATTATGGTAAGTGAAAGAAGTCAGAAACAAAGGCCACATATGCTAGCAATAGGGAAATCCATAGAGACAGAAAGTAGATTACTACTTACTACATGATGAGGTGGGAATGAGATGTGATCATTTAATGACTATGGTATATTTTTACAGAGTGATAAGTTTTGAAAGTAAAGAGAGCTGTTAATTGCACAACATTGTGATTACATTAAATACCAATAAAGTATACACTTTAAATTGGATAATATATGGATTGTGAATTCCACCTCAATCTTTAAATTCATTGAATCAATCTACAGATTTAATGCAATTCTTGTCAAAATCCCAACTGAATTCTTTAGGGAAATGAACAAGCTTATCTTAAAATTCATGTGGAGACTCAATGAACCCAAAATAAACCAAATAGTCTTCAAAACAACAAACTTGGCCGGGTGTGGTGGCACATGCCTGTAATCCCAGCACTTTGGGAAGCAGAGGCAGGTCAATCACAAGGTCAAGAGATCGAGACCATTCTGGCCAACGTGGTGAAATCCTGTTTCTACTAAAAATACAAATATTAGCTGGGCGTGGTGGTGTGCACCTGTAGTCCCAGCTACTCGGGAGGCTGAGGCAGGAGAAGCACTTGAACCTGGGAGTCAGAAGTTGCAGTGAGCCAGGATTATGCCACTGCACTCCAGGCTGGCAATAGAGCGAGACTCCACCTCAAAAGAAAAGTAAAAATACAAATAAAATTTAAAAAATAAAAGAACAAACTTTGAGGACTCTCATTTCTTGATTTTAAAACTTGATGATACTATGGTATCAAGCTATTGCATTTAAGATGTAGCTATAGTAATTTATCTATAGTAATTCAGTACAGTAGTTCAGCTATAGTAATTAAGATTTCAAAATGATGTACTACTGGCATAAGGACAGAAATAGATCAATTGGGAAGAACTGGGAGCCCACAAACAAACCTTCCCCTTTATAATCAATTGGTGTTTGGTAAGATTGCCAAGACAATTCAGTAGGAACAAAAAGAGTTTGTTCAATAAACAGTGCAGTGACAACAGGATTCATGCTTACAGGTTACCTCAGAGACACCAACCTCCAACTCCTTATTGGTGCAAATTCACTTTAGGTTGCACCAAATTCGGGTTTCTCTGTTCCATCCACCTACTCTTTCTTACCATATACCTCTCCACAAACTACTCAACCCATCTGAAACCTCTCCCCTGTTCCTTACTGTGAATAATTTAAGGTATATTTCAATCTATGGGACATTCAGGAAGTCCACCTTGGTTAAGCCATTCTTTTCCATTCTCACATACATTATGTGTAATGATAATGCCCATATTCAATTTATGGTAATATTTTATATTTGCTACCTCATTTGTAATTGCTTCCCTTTGGCTGCAGTGTCCATTCTATTCTCCTCTGGTATATTATTTTTATTTGAAGAAGAATGTCAATGTATTCTAGCCATTTGATAATCTTATGTTTTCCATGATGTTTACTGCAGACACATAAATACTATATATTCTTAAAATGCTAATCAAGCATTATGGGTCTGACCATTTAAACATTCATAATAATTAGAGAAGGATTTAATGAAGCACGAAATGGAAAAGAAATCAAAATGCTGATCTGTTGCAAACATCTTACCTGCTCCATTTTAATCAGGAAGCAATCAATAAAGTCCCGAGGATTGTTAATGTCCAGTGATTCTTGGTGTTCTTTTACTTTCTCCAAAATATAACTTTTTGTAAAAGCACCATTTTTAAGGAATTTGTTGTGAGTCCCTGGGAAGTAATCGATGAGAAAAGGAAAAATATTGCAAACCTAAAAAAAAAATGATTAAATATAAACACATCATAAAGACATATGTACCATATACCAAGTACTGATTAGAAATTATAGCTATAAATATAAATAATATATGGTATAGATCTTAATGGGTAAATTTTTATTGTGAATGTACAGCAGTTCTCTCTACTCACAGAAAGATTTGAGGGAGAAAATTCTGACCAGAGAATAGAAAATGAGAGTTATTTTCTATATAATACATTATTTTTATTGAATAAAAGTATCTTTATGTCAATTTTCTCATTTTTACAACAATTCTTGCCTACAACCTTGAAATATAAGACGGTATAAAGTACTATGATTCACATTTTGTAGATGACACCAATGTTAAGGGAGTTTGGTCAAGGTGACTGGAGCACAAAGATAGTCCCTGCTATTTTCATTTCTACATAGCAGCCTCAAAAATGGAACAAGTATTTTAGAAATTGGAGGCGCTCAAAGATACCTTGAATCCCAACTGTACACCTAAGCAGTTAAGTGACTTCCGTACGATCACACAACTATTATTCAGGCAGAGCCTAGGGCATGCTAGCTCAGCACAGGGTAAAATTGGGATGTTTGTTTCTGGTTCATACACTATAAAGCCAATTATTTTGTCATTTCTAATTCAGTTACCTCATCAGCCAGGATCCCAAATGGAGCACCAAACACCTCTGCCCTACTCAGTGTTTTCTGGTAGCTTCTAGGGTCACCTATATCTATCTATATATATATACACACACACACACACACACATATATACACACACATATATACACACACACACACACATATATATATATAAAATTTTTTTTTTTTCTTGAGACAGAGTCTTGCTCTGTTGCCCAGACTGGAGTGCAGTGGTGCAATCTCGGCTCACTGCAAGCTCTCCCTCCTGGGCTCACACCATTCTCCTGCCTCAGCCTCCTCCTGAGTAGTTAGCACGACAGGCGCCCGCCACTGCGCCCGGCTAATTTTTGTATTTTTAGTAGAGACGGGGTTTCACCTTGTTAGCCAGGATGGTCTCGATTTCCTGACCTCGCAATCCGCCTGCCTCGGCCTCCCAAAATGCTGGGATTACAGGCGTGAGCCACCACGCCTGGCTTATTCTTTCTTCTTGAAGGAGATATTCCCTTCCCAAATTAGGATATTTCTGCCACGTAGTATGGTGAAGAGGTCTCTAAGTGTGAACTGGAGGACGAAACTAGTGAGTAATGGAAGCCTTCAGAAAGGGCCCAGATGTTCATGGAATGACATGGGCATGTTTTTGGGCGGTCATCAAAGTACAGAAACACGGCTTTGGGGTTTAGTGGGAAAGCCACGAGTCGGGAAGCTAACAGACTTGAAAGCCAGGCCAATATTCAGGCATTAAGTTTCTTTGTGTAAAATGAAAGGCTCAGTCATCTTTCCCAGATGTTTACTTGAGGACTGTGGCGTTCAAACATGCACTTCAAGGATTAGTTCACACAGAATTTTGGACTTAAAAGAAAAGAGAGTGATTTTTTGGGAAGATAAAATCCTGGCCTCACCTGGATCCATGGGGTGCTTGCAATCCTGAAGTTCTCGTTGAATCTTTCCATTAAGGTAAGAAAATTCTTATCTTCATACTGAAATCGATTTTGGAAAACGATGGAGCAGATCACATTGCAGGGAGCACAGCCCAGGATGAAAGTAGGATCACAGGGTGAGGCTAAAGGATTCGAAACAACTTTAAAATTCAATTAAAATATAAATAATTTTAAAATATGCATTTGTTAAGATGTAAAGGAAATTTAGAAATTGTAAGCAATTCCTGACAAATTCCTCTTGCACCCCAAAAATAAAAATCAGCATGTGTGAAATCAGCGTATCAGTTTTACCTGAAATCTGAGTGGAGCATAACAACCTAGATCGTTAAAGACTGGCATTTCATATGTGGCAATTCACACCCACTGCCTTTATTTAAACCCTTATAACCCAAGGTGTCTGCTATTTTGGAATTAAAAGAAGACGTTCTAAAAACTCTAATTGCGTTTTTCAAGCAGAATCACATCTGTCTGGAAAGCCTGTGGACAATAAAGCACAAAGGGAGAGAAAAGTTGAGGACCTAGAAACTTTTTATACATAATAAATAGCTAAAAGAATTGTGTTACATTAGTAAAGAGGGGCTAAAGTTAGAGAGACTGTGGGTGAATTCACGTGGTTGAAGAAAAAAAAATGTAAAAAGCAGAATACGTCCATGTTATACGAGAAGAAAAACTAATATAAATGAACTATAAACATGAAAGTGATTTTCTTATCCAAAAAATAAAAAATAAAATGAAAACTTTTTATTTCAATATAAATCCCAGTAAGGCAAACAAAAAGTAAAAGTAAACTGATAATGAAGACTTTTTATTTCTTATTTCAATGTTTAAAACAATGAATTTCATTTCTTAGGAACTATTGTTTATTATTCCCAGTCATGCTCCAAATTTAATTCATTTGGACAAAACCACTCTTGAGGATTCTGGGACATTGTTCTATATAGCCATCAAGATAAGCATGTTTTAATAAATTTTTAAATTTTCACCATATGTTAGAGTAAGTATATCATTTTATGGGTAAATAAATTAAATTATAAGAAAGGTTTTCTTTTTTAGTGGGGGGGGGTTCTCTAAGTGAAATTGTTGTAATCAAGTGATGAATAAACTTTATATGTAAAGAGTTCCCAAATTCACATCTATATATCCTTAATAAGGTGAAGTAAATTGAAAGTGTTCTAAATAAATGGAAGGACATTAAACAACAGGAAACCTGTTGAGTTAGCTGCTTTCAAGCTGGGTTCCTGTAAACATAACAGTGTTCTAAGCTTTCAGAAAAAGTTTTATTTTAGCTGAGGGCATGGAGGGTAATTTCAGAAGCCTTGAGGATTGTATGTGTGCATGTGTTTATGTGTTTACTGAGGTAAAATTTGATTTTCAGTCTTTCCATTCACTGCGCTTAGAAGAGATAATTTTTTAAAAGTTAATTTGGAATCCTAGCTGATATTCAGATTCACTGTGACAAGCCCCTCATAGGTAAGTAGAGTTGGCACAAGGAGGAAAGGAATTACCATAAATGTCCAAGCTAAAATCCAATAAACAAGAGGAAAAGATAAGCAAAACTGAAAGCAGAGCCTAATTACATTTAAGAAAAACAGAATAAAGAGTTATTCATAATAGTTAAACAGATCATTTATAAATTGGTATTTATATATTTTGCTGAAACATACCATAGCATATGCTTACTCAAACTTTATAAATTGCTACAATAAGTAATGGTTAATAAAAAATAATTAATCCTGATATTTTCCAAATAATACCATATTTCCTGAGAAATAACAACTGAGAACTGCACTGAGATACAACTAAACAGGTAAAACCATACATAGTATCACCACTGGCCAAAACTATAGGCATGGACCTGGGAAAAATCCCCAGACATGTCAGTGAGTTTGACCATATGAATAAAGTTCAGTTAAATGAAAGCACATGTCACTTGGTTCACGTTCCATAAGGGTGTGATGGGGTAATTTCCACCATGTTCACTAGCCAAGTATTTTCTGGTGAAATGTTCTGAAAGCTGGAACCCAGGTTTATGCTATAGGGGAAACATTGCTGTTTAATGCTTTTCAAAAATGAACTGAAGACCTGCATTTATGATTTCTAATTTGAAAACAAGGAAACAAAATTGAGGAGAAAACAGGATTAAATGACCTTTTATACCCACACTGTGTGCATTATCATGCCTGTACACCCACAAAGACACACACAAGCTCCCTTTTCTCTCTGCTTTAAACCTCCCTCCACCACTCGGGGGCTGACAACCAGGATGCTCAATGAAGATCTGACCATCCTTGAAATGTACCAAGGACATCCTTAGTAAAGAGAGCTGACTGTTAAGGTCAGTGATGCAGAGTAGAGTCACTCACCGTTGGTTTTTCTCAACTCCTCCACAATACAGCGGGCTTCCTTTTGAACGCAGTCCTCAATGCTTCTCTTACCCATCCCAAAATTTCGCAAGGTCAAAAGAGAGAAACGCCGCATCTCTTTCCATCTCTTTCCAGTGCTGAAAATGATTCCTAACAAAAAAAGAACAGAAACTAGGAGGGGATTCTCAGGTAAAGAAGATGAAGATGAAACTCAACAGCCATGCAGATGGGCTAAGCTCTGCCTTCAAGTCTCTGCTTTTCATCCTCCTAACCCTAATTACCAATGCTGACACAGGCACCTGCACACCTACCATGCCCTTTCTGACTTCTTTCAATTAGTGGCAAAGCACCTCTCCCGGAAAACTCCTCTCCATGATCAATCAGGGCTTCCTTCAGAGCTTCATATCCATGCAAAACCACAGTGGGCTTTAGGCCAAAATACACAGTGAACACAGGGCCGTAGAGTTTTGAGAACTGAGAAAGGAGATGCAAATAGCAGCAAAATAAGTGGCTGTTTGGTTCAAATATTATGTGTGATTCAGACTGATATTGTCATTGTATAGTTTAATGTTTAGATTTATTACACACAGATTTGGTATTTCTGAATTTTATACATAAATGTGATAGTCATTGTTATAGCTGCCATTTTAGATGGCCTGTGACATGCTGTGTAATGACCCAGGCAATTGGTACACAAGTCACGGTTCATCCTCACTTTAACACACTCAGCACATTTATTCGCCCTGTTTTATAAATAAAGAAACGGAGGTCAGGAGAACTCCAAATTCATTTTCAGAGTCCCACAGGTAGTCTATAGAAGCTCCAAACTGGAACTTCTGCTAATTTAAACTCTAGTGCCTGAGCAATTTATCAGTCCCCCGTGTCCACCTTGAGACCAATACCCAGCTGACAATTTTAGTGTCACCTGGAAGGCTCCAACAGTAAGGATTCTGACTCAGCAGTCCTGTGATGAACACTAGTAATCCATATTTTATAAGGCACTCCAGGTGATTCTAATGCCAAGTCAAGTTTCTAACTGCTGCTACTGCCAATACAGAAAAAGTAAGCACCACAGAGACAGAAACAGGACATTCAGCATCTGCTGGAAGAACAATGTCTTCCATCCTCCAGCAACCTTAGCCACAGATGGCAGCTTTATGCAGAATTCAAAAGAACTCTGTTACCACCAATTGGTCCCTGACTGAATATGTCTTTCTTTCATCTACTTATGTTGATCCTGAACCCATAGCTGTTGCCTTCACATTAAGCATTAATTTATTCTTCAGAGAACTTCAATTTTCATAGCAATTCTGAATAAAACACATGATTAATAGAATAGATGACTTATTGGATGACAACTTTAAACTCATACACTTTCCTTACAATTTACCTTCAGCCAAAAATTAGAGCAAAGTGGTATGAAGCAAAAAAGAGAACCATCACTCCAAACTTTTTCCACTATATTGATTTGATTCTACTGTATACTGACCTAAATGTTTCTCCACTCACAAAATGCATTAACTCATCCCACTATTTCCCACAATGACAGAATGGAAAAGACAAGAGAAATATCAAAGTTTGCAGGGAGTATTTTGCTTTACAGTGATCCATTTTAATAGTGTGGTACCAGGAATATATTTTATTTAAAAATAGAAGTCAAAGAACTTACCCTTTTTAAGTCACTGGAGGAATATAAAGCATACTTACATTGCTGAAAGATTTGCTGATATTCCTAATATCTAACTGTAGGATATTTCCAATAATAGGGAGAGGAGTAGGGCCAGGAGGGAGCTTCCCTCTCCCAGAACTCTGTCTCCAGAGTGAAAGGAGAAGCAAACAGGAGAGACAGAGCACCAGGACCACAAAAGGATCCATTGAAGCCTTCTCTTCTTACTAAGACAACTGGCAGCTTGAACTGCAAGGCTTTTATATCTCTCCCTGCTAATTCAGGCATGCCTCGTTAACATGTAAGGTGACCAATCACCTAGATACACATTATGCTATTTTCTGAATGGACTTTGGCTCATTGAGCAATTAAAAATATTTTTTAGTCTTGTTGTCTTTTTCTTTCCAGTGTCCACCTAGGACACTGTGGTTTCATTGCATTGGATTGAAGTCAAGGTAGTGATAATTAAAAACATAAAAGACCCTGGTTGTTTCAATGTGCAAAGATGATGGAGAAACACTGAAGTCATTTAGACTGGATGCTAGAAAATCACTCAAAAGTCAGTATTCTCACATTAATGACCAGTTGGGAATTTATGACTTTGAAAGAAATCAGTGTATTCTATGCCTCATATAAAGAAAAATGTATCTTAATGCTACTTCAAATAATAGGAAACTTTGATAATGAAAGCCTTTCAGATATTTAATATAATTGACTAAAAATACATCACTCTAAATCATTAAAAAGTCAGGAAACAACAGGTGCTGGAGAGGATGTGGAGAAATAGGAACAATTTTTACACTGTTGGTGGGATTGTAAACTAGTTCAACCATTGTGGAAAACAGTATGGCAATTTCTCAAGGATCTAGAACTAGAAATACCATATGACCCAGCCATCCCATTAATGGGTATATACTCAAAGGATTATAAATCATGCTGCTATAAAGATACATGCACACGTTATGTTTATTGTGGCACTATTCACAATAGCAAAGACGTGGAATCAACCCAAATGTCCATCATCCCAATGTCTTCATTCAGTGTCAGACTGGAATTAAGAAAATGTGGCACATATACACCATGGAATACTATGCAGCCATAAAAAAGGATGGAGTTTGTGCCTTGTAGGGGACATAGATGTAGCTGGAACCATCATTCTCAGCAAACTATCGCGAAGAACAGAAAACCAAACACCCCATGTTCTCACTCATAGGTGGGAACTGAACAATGAGATCACTTGGACTGGGAAGGGGGAACATCACACTGGGCCTATCATGGGGAGGGGGGGAGGGGGGAGGGATTGGCATTGGGAGTTATACCTGATGTAAATGACGAGATTGATGGGTGGCTGATGACTTGATGGGTGCAGCACACAACATTGCAACAGTATACATATGTAACAAACTGCACATATGCCACACATACCCTAGAACTTAAAGTGTATAATAATAATAATAATAAAGAAAAAACATACATCGCTTTAGACATGAAATAGCAAAAATTACTCATACATCTTTAATGACCAAATTATTAGCTAATAATTAGCTAATCAAATTATTAACTAATAAATTTACATGCCTTTCATCATTAAGTTAAACACTGCAAGACAAAGATTATCATTTTTTAATTTTTCAAATGAGGAAAGAGAAACTCTGGGAGGACAGGACACCTGTCAGTGCCACACAGCTGATAGGTGGTAAAACTGGCATATGAGCAGAGATCTTCTAATGCCCATTGGGGTGCATTATCACTTACACCAGAGCTGGCTCAAGAACAATTTTAGAAAAACAAAACAAACCCCTAGATATTAGTTACTCTAAAGATACACTACGTTGACTCTCTTCAGAAAGCAACAGGCTTCACATTAAATAGAGGCTCATTTGTCTAGAAGAATAAGAGGACCAGAGATGCTCAAAAGAAGGAATAAAAATTAGAGTCCTCTCCTCTGCATCACCATATAGTGAAAGTTGTCAGCATTATTGAGGAAAAGGTCAATTTCAGATAATTTATTGGAGAGAACTTGAGAATCTGTGGCTTCTCCACCTCTCAGTCACCTCCAGACATGGCTGCTTCTGTTGTTTTTGGTCTGTCATTGTAAAAAATAATAGAATGCAATAATGCACAGCAAGGAAGAGAAAGTGATACACAGAACAACAGCTGTGGATTCAATAGATGATGGGAGGTAGAAAAATCATTGAATGGACCCAGAGCACAAAACTATCACTATGTGCAGATTTGAATGGAAACTGATATTCAGTGGTCATGAATATCTAAATACAACTAGATTTATACATGTTACTAGATCACCAATGACAAAGTGTGTGTGCAAAGCCATGTTCTGAAAAGATATCATAATACTGATTTTACATTGACTAGTGCAGTAATTTCCAGCTTTTTAATTAATAAAAATTTAAGACCCACATATACAGCATTTTATTGATTATGTTTACAGAGATAATGAAAAATTTACAGAGAATTTTCATGCTGATCACATATATTTCTATTCTTTCAATTATTCCCACTTTAGAGAGGAGAAACTGGGCCATGGAGATTCAGTACTTTGGCCAAGGACACAAAGAATACATGTGGACAAGCTGGAGCTGGAACCAACAACTGCTGCATCTTGCTGCCTTCTCTCTATCCTAAAAATTCATTTCAACTATATCACCAAGAACTACTGAAATTCAGTATTTCAGGACTGATCTAATTAGTGACTTTCAAAACAAATATTAATTTAGTTAATAATTCCAGCACCAGTTGAGTAAAATGTGGGTCAGAAGAGTTTGGTTTTATTACCTTTAAATCATGAGTCCAGGTCCTCATGAGCCCTTTATCCAGGGCGAAGAGAAGCAGTAATTTACTGCCTGACTCATGTAGCTATAAACTCTAAAAGAACGAAACTAGCTTAGAGCAATAAACTTATTCCTCAAAAGATAGTTGTCCTTGCTGTGCTCCTCCTTTCTTCGGCTAAGGTAAGGCTCCTGCCTTGACAGTTTCTTTAATAGAATGAAAGAAATATAGACAATTTAGAGACAAAAGGGGTCTCTGAGACCAACTAATCTAAATTGTGTGTGTGTGTGTGTGTGTGTGTTTTGTTTAGAAATTAGCACTTGGTGACTCAGTGAGTTAGAGTGTCATTAATGCATCAATACAAGATTTTTCATTAGAATCCAAGTTTCCCTCCTTGCTGCTTCAGTGTTGTCTCACATCTCATCCTACAGAATCCCCACCTCAGTCCAAATGATCAATAGGGTATCGATATTAAGCCATTTACAGTCACAGAATGATGCTAATCTCAGCTTTGCTGGAGTGGTGAATTCGAGGGTTTTTAAAGAAATTAGTATAGTTAATTTTTACAGCGGCTTTAAGTTTCCAGCAACACTAAGTGGAAAGTATACAGTTCCCACTAACTCCTTCCCAGCACCAACACATAGTCTCCCACAATCAACAACCTTATTATTGAGGTTAATTAATTATGGTTAATAAATCAACAATCAGATATAATCATCAACCAAAGTTCATAGTTTACAAAGGATTCACTCTTTGTGTTGTACATTCTATATATTTTGACTAGTGTATAATGCCATATATCCACCACCATAGCATCATACAGAATCGTTTCACTGCCTAAAAATCTCAGTGCTCTGCCTATTTTTTTTTTTTTTTTTTTTTTTTTGAGACAGAGTCTCGCTCTGTCGCCCAGGCTGGAGTGCAGCGGCGTGATCTCGGCTCACTGCAAGCTCTGCCTCCCGGGTTCACGCCGTTCTCCTGCCTCAGCCTCCCAAGTAGCTGGGACTACAGGTGCCCGCCACCACGCTTGACTAATTTTTTGTTATTTTTAGTAGAGACGGGGTTTCACCGTGTTCGCCAGGATGGTCTCGATCTCCTGACCTCGTGATCCACCCGCCTCAGCCTCCCAAAGTGCTGGGATTACAGGAGTGAGCCACCCCATCCGGCCTCTGCCTATTCTTTAGGCCTTTCCCTGCTAGTCTTTGGTAACAAGTGAACATTTTAGTGTTGCCATAGTTTTGCCTTTACTAGATTATTATATAGTTGGAATAACACAGCATGTAGCCTTTTCAGGTTGGTATCATTCATTTACTAATATGCATAAGATTTCTCCATATCTCGTCATACCTCAAAAGTTTATTTCTTTTTACTACTAAATAATAATAAAATAGTATTTCCTTATACTGATGTACCACATTTGTTTGTCTATTCATCTATTGAACATCTTGGTTGCTTCCAATTTTGGCAACAATGAATAAAGGTCCCGTGAATGTCCATGTGCAAGTTTTTTGTGGACATAATTTTTCAACTCATTTAGCAAATGTCAAAAGCACACCAGCTGGATCATACGGTAAGCATATTTTTGTTTTGTAAGAAATCACCAATTTCTTATTGTTGAGCTTTAAAACATTTTTGAATAATTTGGATAATAATATTTTACAAGATATATTTTTTGGAATTATTTATTCTCCCATTGAACTTAACTTCTCATTCCCGTAAAAGTGTCTTTCATAGAGTAGAAGTTTTTAATTTTAATGAAGTCCAGATAATTGTTTTTTCTTTCATGTATTGTGCATTTGTTGTTGTATTTATAAAACCATTGTGAGGCCAAGGTCATCTAGATTTTCTCTTATGTCATCTTCTCGGAATTTTATAGTTTGTGTGTTACATTATCTCTATAAACAAATTTCAGTTAACTTTTGTAAACAGTGTAAGGTCGACATCTAGATTCTTATTTTTGCAAAACAATGCTTAAGAAAAGTGGGACAAACAAAAAAGCTTCTGCACAGCAAATAAATAATCAAGAGTTAACAGACAGCCTACAGAATGGGATAAAGTATTTGCAAATTGTGAATCCAAAAAACAAAAAGCTAATATCCAAAGTCTACAAGGAACCCAACTCAAAAGACAAAACAAATAGCCCAATTAAAAATTGGACAAAATTCCATTTGTCTTGAACTATTGTTGCATTTGCTTTTGAGGTCTTAGTCATGAATTCTTTGCCTAGGCCAATGTCAGAGAGGTTTTCCTAGGTTTTCTTTTAGGATTTTTATGGTTTCAGGTCTTACATTTAAGTATTTAATCCATCTTTAATTAACTTTTATATACAGTGAAAGACAGGGGTCCAATTTCATTCATCTGCAAATAGCAAGCCAGCTTTCCCAGTACCATTTATTAAATAGGATGTCCTTCCTACAGTGTATATCTTTGACAACTTTGTCCAAGATCTGCTGG